TCAAATATATATATATATATATATATTTCCTGATAGACATCAAATAAGTAAAGCATTAACAACTATTTGATGAGTTCTAAATGTTCTTATAGACTTCTGGTGATGGTGTTATTCAATTTAGAATTTTATCAGGATAATCCGCGTATAAATATTTATTAGAAGAATTACTGAGATGAAATTTTAAGGAGAAATACATCAAAACACACGTAAGAAAGTGTATATAGGTCTTATTTTTTAATGTTTTTATATCAAGAGAAATAAGCTTAAAAGTCCAAAGATTTGTACACTAGTCACTTGTTCACAAAATTCTCTTTAGGGAGAGCTTAATGATTTTTTTTTAATATATGTTGTAAATTTGGAAATCAATGGGGTTATTCAACAAAACTAGCTACTCCTGTCTTTTTCTCTTGCTTGAAGTCTAGCTACCTATGTTAGGCTTCTATGAGGCCTCAAGGGCCAGTCCAAGAATAATATTTATTGCCATTGGCTATATAAAATACACACCAGTCAATTTATTTAGAAACAAACAAATTTCTCTAAATCCCCCTCATTAATATTCTGACTCTTTTAATTTTCTCACATTTTCCTATTGCTGTTGAAATGCACGTAGGTGGCATGCTTGCAAGCACAGCTGATGCAAGTGAAGGCTCAGCTGGCTCAGAACCTGGTGGAGTCCAGGAACATAGAGAATCATCAGTGGCCAGGGAATAACACTAGTGTTGCAGGACAACCTATGAATCATCCTATTTGTCCCACTTACATGAACCCTATATCTCCTCAAAGCTCTCTTGAGTCAATTGACCACAGCAGCATCAATGACGGAATGGCCATGCAAGACATACAAAGCAGAGAGGATTTTCCAATCCAAGCTTCTAAGGAAAGATCATTTAACAACAATGACTTGGGGGAGCTTCAAGAACTAGCTCTCAGAATGATGAGGAACTAGGTTAGAAGCAAAGCTGGCCTAGAAGGATGTTCCTTGATGTTGAGGGGACATGGTCTTTTGCTAGTGTTGTATATAAAATGAGAGTGGCATGAAGAAAACTGGCCAAACTGATAAGCCTAAAGGTTTAAACTATGCATTAGGCTTTTCTGTTTGTGGATTCAATCCAAAAGAAATTAATTTTTTTTGCAGACTAGCTAGCTGAGTCTCTCTCTTTTTCTATGCTTGTGCTAAAATTAGCAGCGGTTAACTTTGAGTTTAGAAAAATAATTTTGGTTTCTGTTATGTGAACTAGAATAAAGCATAGACATTAGACAGTGTTAAACGAAAATGGCAAAAGGAAAGCCTACAGAATAGGGGTTGTCATAAATTATTATGCATTCTTTGCCTGTCAAACTTCAATAATGATGGTGAGTACCTTTGAATTATGAGATCTTTTTTCCAACAAAACCACACGCTTAATTGAACTTTCTAGATCACAATGCTTGACACGTTGAACTTTTTGTTTTATTTATAGTGGGAATCCCCATCTTGGTTAATTTGCATTTGTTAAAAGACAAGTACATACTGGTCTCAGCTGTCTACTTTAGTGAAAAATCTCATTCACGTTTCTGAGGTGTTTGGCGACAAAAAGTAATATCAAAAAAATACTTTAAACACTAAGCTTCAATTTACTGAAAAATGAGTTCTATTATATTTGGTAGTTTGTTATTATTTTTTTCTAATTTATAAGAGGGGGGAAGCAACAAAGGGACCAAAAAGAGATCATGCACGAGCCTTAATCATTGCATATTAGTGCATAATATAAGTTTGAGCTTTTTTCCCCCTATTTTATATATGTTGCAAAAAACCGGTGTGAGGAACTGAAGTCAAAAGTGATCAAGATGCCCCATCTTCTTCAACATGTTTAGATCCAAATGCAATGTTCCCTTGGGTGCATTGATGAGACATTTTTCTAAGATTTTTCTTTTTGCAAGGCAGGGGGCTAGCTAGAGAGGACTTGGATGCTACCATTATAGTTAAAGGCAAGCACAACACTAGGGTGAGTACATCTTATGGACCCCACTTGACTAATAACAGGTAGTTTTACCTAACATTACTATGCTAATCTAATTGTAATATCAATATACCAATGATTTTGTATTCATACAAGTAGACAAAGTGTCTCCCGGATTGAATACATGGGACTACATCACTATTTTTATTTAACCAATTAACCTCATTCTATAGTAACATCAAATAAAGAGCCTAATCCTAGTCGGCAATATTTTGAAAGCACTGCTTTTGATTTGGTAGAGCCATTAATATGAAGTTGAATAAATTTATTGGGGGGTGTTGACACTTTTACGTACGGTGATAATCAAATAATGTAACAGTTGTAGTAATAAACAGACAGAAATAGAGAACCGTACTATATTTCAAATCGCTTCGGTCTTACAAAGTGCTATTTTTGTGATCATAACTGAGCTAGCTAACTTGATGGTTAATTATATCGTGTAACTATTTTATGATTTCCTTGCATGCCACTCAAATATTATTGGTGACTCCGTACTAATTTGATCGGTAAAACCAAGCATGCATTGTGTACCTTATAAATTATTTAAATACAACGAAAACATAATTTGGTGTCAGACTTGTACACACACAATAATAGGTGATACCTTCAGTAGGGGAGACAAGACTAGTAGACAGTGATCTTGTTCAACACTTTCATTATAGAATTCAACTATGGGGACCATACGCAGAAGTTTGTAGTTGTAGTGAAGCACAAGTAGCTCAAGAGCAAGAGAAAATTAAAAGTGTCACCTAATAATGACTCCTAATGAAAATTTGCATGTGTGTCTGACGAGAAATAAATCTGAAATTTCAAATCACTGAAGTGCATGCCTTTGCAAACGATTTTTATATTAAGTCTTAATTATTTTCAATTGGAGTCACTTCAATTTGCTTCCTTAAAATAAATGCTTCTGAAGCATGTATGTATAAAATTATGATCCATGCAGAAGAACAAGATCAACTAGCAGAAGGATCTCCTATGGTTATAGCCTCATAGTGTGCAGGCCATTGAAGGTTGTTGTTTAACAATTAATGGTCCACTTTTTGAACCTGGGATCAACAGAAACTTACATATGGACAATAAAATAAGCATCCTAAGTCATTTCACAATTGATTTAATAAAGAATATGTACATACATAATCTGTCCAATTAATCGGCCATTAATTCCATGATTTGTCTAAGCATTAAAGAACGGCAAAGCAGATAAGAGAGGAATTAAAAAAAAGTTTAATTAAGCCGGACCATTACTTGCACCTGGAAAAGTAATTATTATTTGGGAGGACCATTAATTTAATTGGCGATGAGTGATGATGATTAGCTGAACGTGAGAGCAAAAGTTGTTCCAAAAAAGTAGAATGGAACCTGCTGTAAGCGAAGAGAAAATTTGTATCGGTCTTTACTTGATTTGATGAGTTGCTTCGTAATAAAATAAAGAAATAAAGAGTCAAAAGTGGAGAAGATCAGAACAGAGTGCAGAGTGGTATATATATTAATTTCTTGCCATACTCAGCAATATAATAAAGGCCTTATAAGATATTCATAGATACCTTCTGATATATATACACACAAAATTCCCTGTTCATGACAATTTATTTATTTTTATACAGTCGTCGCAACATCGAAATTTAAACTTAAAACAATGTTTAAACTATCCAAATCCTCTACTATTTTACCCACCTATTTTGCAACTTAAGGAAAAGATTTTAGATTAATGGGATGATATATATATTTTACGTATAAAATTAAATTAACATCAAATTGATAACATAAAACTTCGGTTAAGACTGATATCAATGTGTAATTTTTTTAGCAAACAACAGTGAGTATGCGTTAATTCTACGGTCAACAAAGCTATACTATACGTTAATTAAGTTATAGTGTGTTTGGATAACATTTAAGAATTAATTCTACCTTCTGAGATCATGTTGATATATACTGTGAAAAAATAGAAACAACTATTTGTTTTGATCATGAAAAATAATTGATTATGTATTCTTTTTATGTATACCTTTTTAAATATTTTAGATAAAAATTTTAGGTTAAGAGAAGACTCATTTTAAAAAAATAAAAATCAAGGAAGATCAGTAACCTCGGCGAAAATTTTCATGTATGCATTGTTTTTTTTCTTCTTTTGGTTCGTCTCTGGAGTATCTATCGTCGATAACAGTGACTAATTTTCTCGCTACGTTGGAGGCACCTCAAAGGGTGAGATAGCTGGTTCCAAGATTTAACGCGGCTACATACACAAAGCAGGATTTGAATCCTGACCTTGCTTAAGCGTAGATCAACCCCTACCGTCGAATTACACACTTGGGGTTCATGTATGCATTGTTTAATACGAGTATAATTAATTCTTGAAATTAATAACGTAAATTGAGTTGATAAAGTTAATGACCTTTTATAGATGTTTTTCATTAATTCAATACTTTAACTGAAATTTTTATATATATTGAGTAAATAAAAAATAAAAAATTAATTAATAAATAAATATGCATATCTATAAATGTTTTATTTATCTAAAAGAATAAGCCTAATAGAATTATCTCTAATATTCATGGATGAAATAATACAAATATTTAAAACATATATGGGATACAGTGAATCATCAATAATGTAGCACATATTTGATCTCTGGGATTGGCCAAAGGACTGTATTGTATTAATTTATTTGTTTTGCGTTGTTAAGGTTTAAAAGTGGGGCACACGTGCAACTTTAAAACATGGATGTCACTGACGTGTTTTATACACAGGAGTTTGTCTTCACACAAGAAGCAAGTAACTGCCTTCTTGTTTCTTATTATCTCATTACAAAAATTCAAAGACATGTATAAATAAAATAAATCAAAGTTTGGCAACCCACGTTTGTGCTAAACAAAGGGAGCGCAGTTCTCTATTTTAAAGATTGAAACTTACTAATTAATTGAACCATGATTAGTATTTTACATCATTGTAAATGTTTTTACGATTAAAGTTTTAAGACTGCAGAAGATTCATTATACCAAGATGGGATCATTGAGGAAAATTCTTAAATATTGTTATTAGAAGATTCTTCTTTCTCCAATGAATTTCAGTGGATAATGGATACTGCCTTATTATGAGTCCTAATGGTACACATAAATCTAAGGATTATAAGTCTTCTCCTTGACGAAGTTTTTTTTTTTTTTTTTAAGTATACTGTGTTTTAGTCTCTAAAATTATGAAATGTGTCATAATAGTCTCTAAAATTGTGGAATATCGTTATAGTAATATATCTAGAATTAGAGCAATATCCAATAAAATCTTAAAATTGAAATATGTTAGTCATGTTAGTTCATGTGATGTGATCAATTTTGTTATGAAGTGCAATAATAACAAGGTATATAAAATTTGAAAATTATATAAAGATAGTAAATTGTACATATAAGGGACAAAAATGTCATTAATTTTAATTTTATAGGTTTATTTGATATTTTCCTAATTCTGAAAATTACTATATGTCGTCACCCCACAACAGCAAATGCTAAAATAGTAGTATACACACCTTGAGCAAAATTCTTATGTTGCATCAATAACATACAGTTGAGTGGCTAAACTAATATAAATATGGGATACACTATTCCTCAGCATTATATATATATATATATAT